TTCCTAAGAGAAATGAAAGTATATATCCACACACAGACTTGTACATGAATATTTACAGCAGCATTACTTATCACAGTCAAAAAGTAGAGACAATTCGGGCTTCCCTGGTGGCGCAGTGGTTGAGAGTCCACCTGCCAATGCAGGGGACACGGGTTCGTGTCCCGGTCCGGGAAGATCCCACATGCCGCAGAGCGGCTGGGCCCCTGAGCCATGGCCGCTGCGCTTGCGCGTCCGGAGCCTGTGCTCCACAACGGGAGAGACCACAACAGTGAGAGGCCTGTCTGTCATCTGGTGAATGGAAAAGCAAAATGCAAGATATATATGTATATATAGGTAGACAGATAGATATACATATAGATATATCTCTATGTAGATATATATACACACATATATATGAATATATATATTCATACATTGGAATACTATTCAGCAATTAAAAGGAATGAACTACTTTTACATGCTACAAAATGGATACACCTCAAAAACATGCTAAGTGAAGGAAGTCAGATGCAAAAGACTACATATTGTATGATTCCAGTTATATGAAATGTCCACAAAAGACAAATCTATAAAGACAAAAAGCAGATTAGTGTCTCCTGGGACTGGGAATGATTACAGAGACTGACTGAAAACTGGCATGAGGGATCTTTTTGGAGTTATGGAAATGTTCTAAAATTGGACCGTGGAGATGGTTGTACAAGTCTATAAAGTTACTAAATAGCATGAGAGTATTATGTAGATGGGAGTACGGGGAGAAAGAATAGAGAAGATAAAGGTGATGAAGGTGAGAAGCAGGCAGGGAGAGGGAAAGGAGAAAAGTAAGCAGGTAAAGAAACTATAAATGTTTTCTCATCTTCCCTTCTCTTTCCCCTTCTTCTCCTTCCCTAAGCATCAAACTCTCTCCAACAAAAATACAGTTCTCTAAAGCTATGGGCTATGATCTAGCCTCATAAACAACTGGAAGTGTGTCTGAACACAGTGGCTCAACCCTGTGTTTGGCCTTCACAAGACTATACCTGTTATATACACACAAATATACATAATAAAACTGTATAAATGGCTATACATAAATACACAAACACAGACTAAAAGCTTAATAAATATTGAGTTAATGAATGAATTAATAAAGCTGGGCTGTCAGAATCATCATCTCTAAGGGGCTAAGTTTTATAAGGTCATAATTTTGATTTTATGAAATTGCTCAGTAGATATTAGGTTCCAGGGAACTGATTCATATAACTAAAATCAAACAAGAATAATTGGTGAATGTATAGGTCAGGCATAGGTATAAATATATGACACTGATTCAGTAATTAATTACAGTGGCTTTTATTTGTTCTTAGAAGTGGGCAGATCAATTTGGGGAACACACCTAATTTGGGAAACAATTCATAATGTAGTGTTCAATTAGAGATGCTGCATTATCTTCAGAAAATTTTTGTTAAGGATAGTCCTCTATAGAACAAATACCATCTCTCCAGAGCAGAATTGGATTAAATTTCTTATTCTACACTTCCAAGATTTGAGTCTCGGCTTCAAAATTCCCCCCTGCTCTTCCTTACTTTAGATTCACCAATGATTAATAGAAATGCAAATAATTACAATCATCACCTAGTATTAATCAAATATAGGGTTTACAATTTATGACACTTAAGGAAACATTTTATATCTACAAAACATAGTTGTTAAAAATCTTGCATCAAGAAAGTCATTCTTTGACTTTGACATCCTAAACTTTCTTAATCTTCACCTCTTGATACTGGGTATATTTTGCTTTCATGGTCTGTAGCCCACACTATTCACTGATTTTAAAGGAGAAAAAAGTTTAGATAATTTAAACTTAAAAAAAGTTTAGTCACGTTAAGTTTAGATACTCCAGGAGAAACAACCAAAGAAATATCTACTTTAGTTTTTCCAATGCCAGATTTGCTCTAAAGATAAAGTACTTGTTAACAGGATGTGGGTATATGGGAGGATGAGAGAACTGACCAGTTCTATTGTCCCTCCCTAAATGTGTATATGATAGTTAAACTATTATGTCTGTCCAAAAAGATATGGTCACAAAAAAAGAAAATGGATAAAAGATTGGAGAAACAAGTCCAGGCCAGGAGGATGATCAGATAATTTTTGAGGGGCAAGGGCCTAAATATACAACACAGAATCGTTGTGAACAGAATACAATGGATATCTTAAGGGATATGATGCTAGCACAAGAAAAACTATCAGTAGTTGTAAAATGAATTAGAAGAATCAGCAAAATAAATCTTCAAACCCTAAAAGGTGTGTTTATTTAGGCAAACTGCTTATTTGTCATATCCAAAAATAGAAATGCAATTTTTAAAATAAAAGCAAGGGGGCAGGGAAACAGACCAACTCTAGTCTTCCTGACTACAGACTCAAAAACCATCTATATCTACCTTGATAGAAATGCTCACAGGAACATTACCAGATACTTTCTACCTTATTGAATTTTTAAATTCATAAATTTGGTTATTTTTCTATCGATTGCTATCTATATCCCTATCTATTTTCTTATCTATGATTGTGCATTTTCTCCTCCTCAAAAATGATTCTTTGTTTTTGTTAATCCTTGAAGATGGATTGATGATGATGGGAATCAAGTGTTGTGTGGCTAAGGTGACTAAACAACATTTTAAAAATGTAATTAGCTCCGTCTCTAAACTGTTTAGCATAATTTGGGGGAAGGATGGAAAGGGGCAGACTCTCAGTTATTTGGAACAGACATATATACAGAAAGATGCCTATATTCTCCCCACCCCCACCAAATCACGTCAGTTATACCAATTAAAGATTTATTTAATTTAATAAGCTCCCAAATTCAGAGATGCCACAAACCCTGGAGGAATTATTCCCATCAGTCATTTGTAAGTAAGTTTTAATTGCTTTGGGCTTATCTACAACCAGCTGAGATTCTTTTACAAACCAATTTTATTTAGAAATATTTTAGAAAGAAAACAAATGCTTTAGGCACAGCATGTATTCTCTAGCTCATCAGAGGCCCTACCACTCCTTACTGTCTTACACTGACCCGTTTTAAACATTACACCTAATTGGTCCCTCATGACAGATATAATGCCCTGTTTGGGGAATGCATTGTTTGAATTGTTTGAAGAATATTTTTCTGTGTTTGGAGAAAAGAGCTAAGCTGGGTGGAGTCTGACACTGGAGCAGGGTAAGGTTAGGTGGGGTAGTCATGAGTAGACAACATAAAATACCAAAGAATGTCAAGGAGCATGAAATAGAAGATACGACGGGGAGGGATCAGTAAATGGCTTTGTCTACTATGTAATAATTTTGCCTCGTTCTAAGCTGATCACATCACTCTTGCTCTTGTCCTAGAACGTATGATACCTAGACTGGTTGGGAAGATGAAAAATCTCAGGCTACCCTAGTTATGCCCCCTGTAACCAAATTATCTTCAGTTCAGCTCAAGTCTCCATTTGGTAGCTAACTCTCCCCCAATTTCCCCCACTCCAGGGAAGGAAGAGAGAGCTACATTCCAGTTAATGGTTAGTGATAGGAAAAAAGACACTTGTTCTTATAAGATCCTCATCCCTTGCTACCTTATGAGAACTTCAAATTCTAGAGTGGAGTGCATAAATACACACACGTGCTTGTGTATGTGTACACTGCCCCCCCAGCACACACACGGTGCTCCAAACAAATATGGGTTAGCTACAGATATACATGGCCATGGACAAAAATGTTATTATAAATTTGTAACAGTAATTTTAAGAGAATTCTTGGTTGTTTTGTTCTAAGGTTTACCAAAATGCCTTTTTACTAGGAATCAGAATATTTTCAAATTTATACTATCCATAATTTTAACTATAACCCATAGTAGTTGACTCAATAATATTAGAGACTCATGGAATCTACAGAATATCATATGTATCATACACACATATATATCACTAGGAAAAATAGTGTGATTTAGGAACATTGTGTGCTCAATGGAACATTGTTCCATGAAATGATAATAGGTCTCTCTCTCTCTCTCTCTCTCTCTCTCTCACACACACACACACACACACACACACTCCCCCCACACACACACACCCACACACAGTGCAATGATTAAACAGGATTGGCTACATAATCTGCAGGGCCCCATGCAAAATGAAAACATGGATCCCTTTATTTAAAAATTAAGATGGTGATAGCAGAGCATTAAACCAAGCATGGGTCTCTTCTAAGAATGAGATCCTATGTGACTGCACAGGTTGCATGCCCCTGAAACCAACCCAACCCTGGTTAAATGATTTAAGAAATACTGGGTTAAAAAAATGTTATACAGGGGCTTCCCTGGTGGTGCAGTAGTTGAGAGTCCGCCTGCCGATGCCGGGGACACGGGTTCGTGCCCCGGTCCGGGAAGATCCCACATGCCGCGGAGCAGCTGGGCCCGTGAGCCATGGCCACTGAGCCTGTGCGTCCGGAGCCTGTGCTCCGCAACGGGAGAGGCCACAACAGTGAGAGGCCCGCGTACCGCAAAAAAAAAAAAAAAAATGTTATACAGATTTTATTGCAACAGGACTTCTCAAGCCTTTTACATACTAATGTGCATTATGAACCTTCAAGAAGTACATATACTGTAGACCAGTTCCCAAATATACTTGACCAAACTCTTTTGAATTATTTTAAGGGTCATCTTGTAGGACCAGTGTTCTATAGAAGATTGTAAATTTCAGCTTAGGCTGAGCAGATAGGTTGTATCTGGTTTAATATCAATTTGTTAATCATAAATCACATTTGGCATTTCCCCTATATTTGGAATAAGGTAACTAGAGATAACTATAGATGCAAATGGTGGGCTTCACTAAATCTACTCTCCAACTGTTTGGTCTTTTACTATTTGGAAGGTCAACTCAGTGGTCAAACAACCCAAGTGTTTTCTGGGCCACTGTACTAGAGATGGTCTGAGCCATCTTACATTTTACCCTTTATCTTGTCAATTCAGAGGAAACAACATCCTTACTTACCATTACCCAGTTCCCAAGAAATGTTGTACTTTTTACTGGCGCTGTACTTCAACAGACTCAGGGCACTAGAACTGTTCCAGGAGTTATTGGGATTACGACGCAGTGCATTTAGAGCAAATATCAGGTGGAGTCCAGAGCAATCAGCAAAGTTATAAAGTTTGTCTAGAGACCTGGCTGGGAAGAAGCAGAGAAAGGCTTGTAACTTTCAAATCAACATCCCAACAAAAGGAAAATATTAGCTACTACAAAAAGCCTTTCTATGAGCTTCCTGCTAATAGGAATTACACAGAGGCTTCCAAAAGAGACTATTACCTTTTGGTTCAGGGTACATTTCAAGGTGATTTTCAAAAGCAGCACACACAACTCCAGATAAAGTTTGCAAATTGACAACCAAATCTAGTCTATAGTATATTTTATCTGTTAACAAAAAATTGAATTCTTAACATTTAGAAATGGGAAGATATCACAAACTAGTTAGATTTATAGTTTTTCTCAAAAAATCAGAAAATCTGGCACTGCTGGATCTGTATTCCTTTATGAAATGATAGGAATAGTGTCAGGAGACAAGGCCAGGAAACAATGACTGGCTGGGGAGTCAGAAAATAGCTCAACCTAGCAGCACTTCCAAAACAAATCTCACTCAATTTCACATTTCTAATATTTCTGAGAATGGAAATACCACAACTACTAATAGAAATATGTTCATTGTTAGGTTGATCCCAGATACCATGAATGCTATTTACCATATGTCCCATACCCATCCCATTCCTTCACGCCTATTGCCACCATTCTGGTTCTGGGTCTCATTTCCATTTGCATGAATTATTACAAGAATGTACTTGCCTGTCTGCCTCTAGATTCTTCCCAGATTGCCAGATTCATCTTCTCCCAATCAATTTCATTAGTTTCACTTATTCCTCAAAACCTTAGTGGGTCTGCAAGACCTTTGTTTCCTTTAGTTCAAGGCCCCTACAACTCAACTATAATTTTTCCCCAACTTCAGGTCTCTCTATTACTGTCAAAGAATTCTTTTCAGGTGTTATCCAGTTCTATTTATTATAGAATCCCCTGCCCCACTGGCCTTTGCTCTGATTATTCTCATTCGTCATGCCTTTTCTTTGTCTTTTAAACATATCCAGATTTTACTTGTCCTTTTATACAGTGTTTCACAAAATATGGATGACATGATTTTAAGTGGTATACAGATTGAAAAACAATTTTAGGTTAATAATTATGTACAGGAGTTCACATTATCTTAGTACTCATTATCCAAGTCCCTAGAGCAGGGTTTCTCAAATGGGATTCTGTGGAACACCATGTGGGGCTCTATAAGATATCATTAGGGGTTTCTGCAAAAGATGACACAGAGTGACCAAGCTGTCTCATAGCAGCTGTTATAGGTCTTTTAGTCCTACGAAGCAGGACCATGATCATTTGGTTGAATCCATTATCAGTTTCTGAAGTAGGATACACAGGGTTGCTGCCATTTTTATCTCCGTACATGTACAAGAAAGTGTTTTTTAAGAAGCATCAAGAAAAAGGACGGAAATTGTCTCATTTTAGTTGAAAATAAAATCCATGGGAACTTATCTCACATTAAACCCAGAATCAAGTAACTAAGCAACAACAAACAGCATAGTTTCACATTAAAGAAATAAACTTAATTATTAAAAGAAAAGGAAATAAACTTAATTATTTATTTTTAGTTCCAAAATAGCAATTAAAATTAAAATGCATTTTTAGGCCTATTAAAATGATCATGAAACCAACACATGTGTATACTGATCTTATAATTATCTACATAATCTGACCATGCCACTCAGTAAGAAAATGGTTTCTTTCAACGTCTCATAGAAAATGTTTTCTTAGGCTATAATTTTATTCATATTGCTTTGACATATAGTTTTAGTAACTTTACTATTCAATACTGTTAATTTATTTTCATATTGAAAACCACATTAACATAAATTCATAAACCTTATTTAAATAACCTAACAAGCCTACCTTTAGAAAAATTATATCCCATTTTGGCTTAAACCAGTTAATTAACAAAAACATATTATGTTTGCCTTATAATTTTTCAAATTCATAAAAAGGAAAAAAGGGATTAATTTCAAGAATGAAAGTTAGTTACTTGTTCTTTTCTTTTTTTCTAGAAAGGTTGTCTAAAAGGTCATTTTCAGTTTTAAATAGGAAGGAAAAAAAACTAAGCTTACAGCTTACCATATATCATGTACCATATCTCAACAGGATTTATATGATAGAAATTTGTGATGTTTTAGCCGTACTTGGGTAAGGCACCAAAAAATCAAGTAGAACATTTTTAAAAGAAAAATTGAAGTTTATTCTATCCATACCACTGACCTTTTTGGGGGAACCTACAAAAGAATAGGCTAAAATGTCAGCCAAACTAAACAGATTCTCAGGAAAATATCACTCTATTTAAAAGAGCATTGGCAATTATTATTGGATTATAATATCTACAACTAAATGATTACACTGACATACCATGAGCTTTATATATAATCTTTATCCAGAAGTTCCCTGAGACTTGAGAATATTTCAAGTGTCTCTCTGTTATAAAGTTTGAGAAGGCTGTCCTAGAGTTAAAGGATGCACAGGAAAATAAAAGTAATCCTAACACTAATATATTCACTGTTGAGCTGAGAACTGACTTAAACATTCCTTCCACTTGGCAATATCCTCACTAATCAAAGCAATGATGTTTTTAGTTTCTCCAATATAAGGCAAAGTCAGTACAAATTTGTTGCAAAGCCAAGTTGCAAATGTGAGAAAAAGACACAGGGTTTCGTGAGATCAATGAAAATAATGTTTGGTAATTGCTTAAATCACATGCAAATCCACTAGTAAGTAAGGATCTAGAAGAATTTTATCAGTTAACTGAACAAGAGAAAACTCACAAGAGTGATAATAAAACAGGTTGCTCAAAAAATAATTTTATTAAAAGATCATATGAGGTCTACTTTGATGTTTTTTAATACTTATGACTGTGCCACAAAAGTTAAATTATTTTATCAGAAAAATACTCAATATTCATTTAAATATCATTTTGTTCATTCAAATTGTTCATAGTTGCAATAACAGCTTATAATTTAAGTATAAAATGAAATACTTATTTTCATAATTTTTAGTTTTATTTATAAACTAAAACCCTAATCAAACTTTTACATCAAAATTTCATATGAATGATATTCTTTTTAGGTAGATTAATCCCCTTTAAGTGGCCTTTTTCTAGACCTAATTGTCTCCATATGATGAGGATTATCTGTGTTTGTTTCATATATAATAGAAAAATATATATCAAACACAAAAGCACATCAAACCTGTGATTTTATGGATTTGATGGTTTAAGACAAGGAAAATGGTATTTACCAAAAAAGTGTCAGTATAAAGAAAAATGTGGAAAAATAAGAATATAGACAGTTTGTTAATATGGCAAAACTTGAGAACTAGAGAGCTAGAAGTTTGGGAAATACTTTGTGAAGGATAAAGTTTAAGTCCCGCCTCCTCCATGAAGCCATTCCTCAGTGAACTCACCAATCCACCTACAGTGACCTCAGCCTTCTTTAAACTCAGGGTTTACACCATTTGTTGTCATCTGAGTGCCTTGTGACATTGTCTTACCTTGGGATTACCTCTTGATTTAGTCACTTCTCCAGAGTGAATGGCATGTTTACCCAGTTAAACTGTTAAGTTCCCTAAGGGTGGTACTGTATCTCATTATATCCTTCACAGCATCTATCAGAGAACAATTTCCTGCCTTAAAATCATGCTTAGGAGTTCACACAGTCCAAATCCTGTTTGTTGCATAAAAATGGTCTAGTAAGAAACTGAAAGTTCCCAATGAAAGATATGTATAATAATTATTATTGCTAGTTCAAGAAATATACCCTGAAGTTTATTTTAAAATGACATATATTTGAATATAGAGCATTCAGTAGATGCTCAACAAATGTAATCTTCCTTGTAACATCTCCTGTCAGGTTCCATCCAAGCAAGCAGATACTTAAAGATGACTTCTACTCTCTCCACCAGAGGGTGCCAATGCCTTTATATACTATAGTCAGGTTGTCTTGGCATCTCACAGGAACAGAACTTTAAGGAGTCTTGTCTAGCAGTCAATTAAAGATGAGGAGCTGGAGTCTTAGAGAGATGGAAGAGAGAGGCTTGGGAGTCATCTACATAGTGCTGAGAAAGTTGATGCTGTGAAAGTTCTTGAGAGTTTTGAAGGACAAAATGGTAGGACAAAACCTTAAGAAATGTCCACATATAAAGGTGAGGAAGGGGCTTGCTTCCCTGGTGGCGCAGTGGTTAAGAGTCCGCCTGCCGATGCAGGGGACACGGGTTCGTGCCC